TAGCAACCTCCACTTAGCAACCTTCCTTAACCTGGCAACCTGCCTTTAACCCAGAACAAAGGGCCTCAATCCCCTGTGCAGCCTGCATCCCACAGGATGGGCCGGGGGGTTCAGATATTCCTCATAGATAGAGACTGAACCTCCAGGTTGACCACTCCTGATTTCATAGCTCAGAACTCCAAACACAGAGTCTTCTTAGACTGTCAGGTCATTCTCAGGTTATGCTCAAGTGATTGCTGTCAGGTGTGTCTGTCGTACACCTAGTGAGGCAGTTCCTATTCCCAGAGGGTAACCTTCAGAGAAGCAGGTAAGCAACGGTGTGTCTTTGGCAGCCAAAACTCACAGCAGCTGAGAGGCGGATGTTCTGGTTTGGTTAAGAAGGGTTAACGAGATGTGGATGGGGGATCAAAACAGCACCTTCACAGTCCACCCCTGCTCAGGTCCACCTGAATCACATATGAAATTCACTTCAAACATATGAATCCTGAGATCACAACTTTTAGGAAAATGTAAAAGAAGGGTTGATGGACTAAACTGCAACCCCCTCCACTGCTCATCATCTCCCCACTATATTACCCACTTCTGATTCCCCCTACCCTCAGCTAGCACTTCTGGCTGATGTCTAGGTGGCTTGCATTTTGGGTTTATGTAGTCTTCATCCCTGCAGGGTCTGAGTTTCCCAGTTAGCATGCCTTTGTGAAACTGGGGTTGTCAAATTTGCCCATTTATAGTAATAAACGGGCACTGATGTACCAAGAGATGTACTGGCAGATGGCTAGACATCTTAATTTACGTTCTCATTATTAAATGACTGTTCTACTTCCTCACGATGGTGATGGTTCATTTTCCTGGCTGTAAGAATAGCTCCTTTTTCTACCTAATGGCCTATTAGCATGAAAAGCCCAATGTGACTAGGTGATAGTCATTGCTTTGACTTTAGTTGGAGCTATGCTGTGTCCTTTGGGTGGGGATGTTCCCCTTCTTGAATTCAGAACCCCCAGACTCCTAGACCTTATACATATGAGGATGAGAAACACAAATTCTTCAAGTGAGTCATCAGAAGTGAGGTGAATGGAGCCATTTCTACCTTTCCACTACTTTCATACCCTATCAAAGGTATTCTATCTATTGAAGACACAGCACTACGTGATGGAACTTTGTTGAAGAAATGTACTAAATCCTGCAGAATAGCACCTATTCTCATAGGATCTTATCTTCAAGCTAGTGTCTCAGCTACATCTTTAAGAGGTGGGTTCATCATTCTGCTTAGATGGTAGCTTCTTTATGGTATAGAAAGTGGTAGGACTGTGTACCCTACATATATAAGCCCACTGCCACTCCTCATAGCCATAAAGTGGGTCCCTTGACCTGGAGTGATACCACATAGATTCCATTACTGTAGATTACACCTTCTGTGAACCCTTTGATAGTGGTGCTAGCTCAGAATGTATGAGTGATAAGGGCAAACCTGTGCTGTTTGTCAATCCTGGTTAGAAGGCTTTACTTCCCTTTCCATGAAGGGAGATGTCTGATGCCACCAATTTACCAGTAGGTAGTTAGTTGGTTTATTTGAGAGATGTGTATGTTGTATGCCCCAGTAAAGGAAATCTGGGTGAGGCACTGCAATTCATTCTGCCACAGAGACCCACTGACCTTTTGTTTCAGAGTACAATTTTAACCAGATTTAAACAAGGGACTCAGTTTGATCATATTTTTGGATCAATTTATTGATTTCATACAGGCTATTTGATTGAACCAAAAGTATGACAAATTAGTTGAATTCATAGTTATTTTCAGTTCAGTTTGAGTAAACCCAAACTAAACCTATTATTAGACCAGATAATTCAGTAAACACAGATGATAGATATTAAATATTAGCCAGTTAATAGGGGCAAATGTAGATAGTCAAACTTTGAAAATCTTAGCTGCTAATCAGGAAGAAAAAGCTCAGAAGCAGGAAATGCAGAGATATGTGTGGACAAATGAGACCTTTTTGATTTTGAAAACTGCATTTTATAAAGTATGTTTCTTTAAAAAGGTACTGGCCTATAATTTTGGAATAGAAGGAAATAAGTACTACCCTTATTGCTATCAACTGGGAAATTACTTATGAATTTTAAAATACAGAATAATCACAGTCATGACATCTCAGAATTGAGAGGGCTTCAATTCTTACATACTTCTTTCTTCCAGTAAAGAAACTCTGTTTATTATAGGCTGATGGTCAAATAGCTTAAATTAATCATGTGATAGAAAACCTAGTACTTCACAAAACATCTACTTAATTTCTTTTAAACATAATCTTTTTATGACGGTAAGGGTAATATATTTTATAGTAGAAAACACTTGGACTCAGAACTGGAAAGTAAAAAAGCACTTTAAACCCCATATTAAAAACTGTTGCTATTTAGCATTTTGTTTTTCTTTTCAGTATTTTTATGTGCTTTAATCTTCCACCAAAGTAGTTGCAATCATGTTACATATACAGTTGTATGCCTTGCTATTTTTTTACTTTATAATAAAAGCCTTCCTGTGTTGTTACAGAAACATTTGAAGCATCCTTTACAATGATGCGTAACGTTCTGTCCTGTGGTTCAACCACAATGCTGCTTAATCATTCTCTTCTGGTTAGACAATTAGATTATTTCCATAGGCTAAATTGCAGGGTGACAGATAATTTACCTATATATACTTAAAAAGACCCCCCCACACAAGATTGCCTTCTGAAAGTTATGCCATAATATTAAGACATGATGGATAATTATGTCTTTATTCTTCTGTGAATCCTAATGAGCTTCATACTTCACTTTTCAGTTTGCATATAATTCCCCTTGATAATGTATATGCAAGGTAAAAATTGAATAATTTCATTTTCTCTGGTGTCAACACATACTTCAAAAGCATAGGGACTTGTTTTCCTTTGATCTCCTCTCTTTGAAAAAGCCAACATGTCCTCTTTGCTGTACTTAGTTTCTTTCTTTCTTTTTTTGGTAGGACTCAATTCTGTTCTTCAGTTTTTTTCTTTACCTTTGGTTTTCAGCAATTTGTCTATTATGTTCCTAAGTTTTTTTTTTTTTTCAATTCTGTTTGGGTCTTTTTCAATCTGTTAGTGGATATTTATTATCAAATTTGGAATATTTGCCACCATATTTCTTAAAATTTTTTTCCATTCCAGTATTTCTCTCTTCTCCTGTGACTTTAATTATGTGTGTACTTGACATCAGTTGGATATTTGTCTCCTTTAAATCTCATGTTGAAATTTGATCACCAGTGTTGGAAGTGGGACCTGGTGGGAGGTATTTGGATTAGGGGGATAGGTCCCCCATGAATGGCTTGGTGCCTTCCCCACCGTCACCATGGTAATGAATGAGTTCTCCTCTTAGATCCCCCCAGAGCTTGTTGTTAGAGTCTGGCACCTCCTCCCTATTCTCTTCCTCCCTCTCATGTAGGTTCCCCATTCCCTTTCCACTATGCTTGAAAGCTTCTTGAGGCCCCTGCCAGAAGCAGATGCTGGTGACAAGCTTCTTGTACAGCCTGTGAATTGTGAGCCAAATAAACCTTCTTTATAGATTACCCAGCCTCAGGTATTCCTCTACTGCAATACAAAATGGACTAAGACAAAAAATCGTACCCCTTGATATTTTTCTATAGGTCACTGAAGCTCTTAAAAGTCACGTTTTCTTTTCTATATTTTTGTTTTTGAGACGGAGCCTCACTCTGTTGCCCAGGCTGGAGTGCAGGGGTGTGATCTTGTCTCACTGCAACCTCTGCTTTTCGAGTTCAAGCACTTCTCCCTGCCTCAGCCTCATGAGTAGGTGGGATGACAAGCATGCACCACGACGCCCGGCTGAGTTTTGTATATTTAGTAGAGATGGGGTTTCACCACATTGGCCAGGTTGATCTTGAACTCCTGACTTCAGATGACCTGCCTGCCTTGGCCTCCCAAAATATTGGGATTGCAGGAGTGAGCCACTGTGCCCTGTAGCCTCTTTTCTATTTCTAAGATGGGATCCAGAGTGTTTTTTTTTTCTTTTAAATATAGTCTTACCAGTATTTCCTTCCAATGTAAACACTTCACTTGTGATGATGAACAATTTACTTGTTTTTAGAATAATAGCCATCACATGTTTTGCTAATACTTGTTTTTCCTTTTAGTTTGTCAACTCCATGAGGGAAGGACTCTGTTTTCCATTGAACTGTTAACAAACAATACTGTGCCTGAACATGGTAGATGCTCATTTGTTAAATAGTGATATTAACTGATATTATAACTAATCTTTATCAAGAGCTATGTACTAACAGTCCTTCTAAGAAACATGTATTATTTTTTGAAAATTACTTTGTTTTGTATACAGTCATGTGTTGCTTAATGACGGGAATACATTCTGAGAAATATGTTGTTAGGTGACTTCGTCGTTGTGTGAACATCACAGGGTATACTTACAGAAACCTAAGTGGAATAGCCTACCATATAACTAGGCTGTATGGTATCATTTATTGCTCCCAGGCTACAAACCTGTACAGCATGTTACTTTGCTGAATACTGCAGGAAACTGTAACACAATGTAAAGTATTTGTGTACTTAAACATAGAAAAAGCAGTCAAAATACAGTTTAAAAAATTAAAAATGGTACACTTGTGTAGGGCACTTACCATAAATGGTACTTGCAGAATTGGAAGTTGCTCTAGGTGAGGCTGTGAGTGAATGTCTGGCCTGCTACTGTAAGTTTTATAGACACTAGGCATTATGGCTACACTAAATTTATTAAAAAACATTTTTATTAAATAACAACTTTAACTTACTGTAATATTTTTACTTGATCACATTTTCATTTTTTTAGGCTTTTGACTCTTGTAGTAATAGTTAGCTTAAAACACAAACACATTGCCCAGATGTATAAATATTTTGTTCCTTTATATCCTTATTCTATAAGAGTTTTTCTATTTTAAAAAGTTTATTTTTTTTTTACTATTCAAACTTGTTTTTGTTACAAACTAAGACACCAACGTTAGCCTAGACCTACACGGGGCCAGGATTATCAATGCCACTGTCTTCTGCCTCCACATCTTGTCCCACTGGAAGTTCTTCAGGGGCAATAACACACATGAAGCTGTCATCTCCTATGATAACAATGCCTTCTTCTGGAATACCTCCTGGAGGACCTGCCTGAAGCTGTTTTACAGTTAACTTTTATCTTATGAGTAAGTGTACACTCCAAAAAAGTATAAAACTACATAGTAAATACGTTAACTAGTAACAGATATTTATTATCATATCAACTATTATGTACTGTGTATGATTATATGTGCAATACTTTTATACAACTGGCAGTGCAGTAGTTCATTTACACCAGCATCACCATGAACATGTGACTCGTGGTATTGTGCTATGATGTTATGATGTCTACAATGTTACTAGGTGATTGGAATTTATCAGCTCTATTATAATCTTATGAGACCACCATGCATGTGCACTCCATCATTGCGCAAAATGTTATGTGGCATATGACTGCATTTAATTTTTCTTCCTTTGACCCTTCAGGTATTGGTTTTTGGCAGGAGCATTTCCCCCAACAACATATCGTAGGTGACTGAAGAAAATGTCTAAGTTTTGAAATTCCAAGAGACTTGGAGAACATGAACTTTCCTGGAGATGTGGCTACCTAAAAAAGAAACAGTATTAAGGATGTGGATTGGATCCTATTTTTCAAGGGGTGGACTGCGTGAGGAAGGGTCATCCATCAACTTAAGATAGGGAGCCAGTGAGATGGGGAAAGCTGTGTGAAGCATAATACTCTCCGTAGCCTTTTAGAGCTTCAGACACATTGCTGAATTTTCAAAGTTGATGAATGTAATTGCATTTCTCGTGGAAAACAGTGAAATATTTTTAGTCTGTACACTGACTTGTGAGAGGCAGAATTTGTGTGTCAGATCCCCATAGAGGAACTGAGAGCACCCAGAGGAATTAAGGTCAAGAATTCACAACAAACATCAGTGTTACCTTTTTTGGGTTAAAAAAAAAAAAAAAAAAAAAAAAGAAGAATCCATAAAAATTATAGGGAGAGAGTTCAATTCACAGGTTCTATAAGTTGAGCATTTTGATAAAAGTTGAGCTAATATCCAAGGGGCAGAAAGGCTTTATGTGTTATTTGGGTCACATGTCTGACAGTACTCATTCAGCCATGTGGTTGTTGCTGGGACTCAAAACTAAGTTAATTAATTTGGTACCCATGTTTGAACTCATGTGCTTCCTGATATCCAGATCCTGCTCATAAAACAAAATAGAGAAGAAAGGGTCTCTACACACATGCCATTATTTGAGAGCCTCCTGTAGTGGGCCACCAGCTAATGTGCCATAGCATATGTCTTAGAAAATTAGACTAATGGTCAGTACTAGTGTGGAAGAAGCTCTTTGTAGAAAAGCATCACTGGCAAAACACAGACTGAGAGAGGTAAAGTCTTTTTAAGTGCCACTTTAGCCAACCTAGATATCATAGTTGGTAAAACTGATCTTGGAAGAGGAAAAGATGGACACAAAATTGGTTGATCTGAGGGAATAAGACAGAACAAAAGTGGCAATCCAGGGTAACAGGTCAGACATTAACAGTGGGAGTTGACATGGGAATGATTATGTTCCACGTCTCCATTCCCATTGCCAAGCTATCTGTGTAACAGGAACCAGGGAGGAGGGGAAGAACAGGTACCTCTCACCATTGGTGAGGAGATGGCCCAATGGTGGCCCAAGCTCTCTAACGAAGATTAGTCTCACATCTGTGATTTTCTTGTGAGAAGCTTATCTCTCTAACATGTGTAAGCACAGGAATTTATTTACCTCTTGCCCTGTGGAAGTCTTCAGCATTGTGTCAGATAGATTTTTAAGAAAATATTTAAACTGCCTCAGATTCCATGAATCAATTGCTAGTTCACTTGTGGTTAAGGCAGCCACCTTGTTACATGCAGATTGTCTCTCAGGAGGTTCCAATAGATCAACATCTGGACAGAAGTAGCAGAAGTGATTAGCTCTTCTGGATTTAAGAGAGAAGAAGGTCTGGAAACCATTACTCTTTTACCCAGAGAGAAGTAAGACCACTTGTGGGGTTGGGCCTAGGGAAGAAACCTCAGCCATAAATAATTATGGCTCTTCTCACCAATTCTTCAGGATGAGATGTTGTAGTGAGACAGCAGGCGTGTTATTCCCCTGAATTCCAGAGTGAAAGTGTAGGGCTGCTCCGTGTCCCAGAAGCAGTGGATGTAGCCATGGTGGGCATGGATATTTCCCAGAAGCAGTGGATGTAGCCATGGTGGGCATGGATATTTCCCAGAAGCAGTGGATGTAGCCATGGTGGGCATGGATATTTCCCAGAAACAGTGGATGTAGACATGGTGGGCATGGATATTTCCCAGAAGCAGTGGAGGTAGCCATGGTGGGTGTGGACATTTCCCAGAAGCAATGGACATAGACCATGGTGGGTGTGGACTTTTGTCAGGGTCTTGGTTCTCTCAGAGGTGGAGGAGCAGGAGGCAGACCTGTGGGCTAGAGAAAGGTGTGTGGGAAAAAAATGACCTCTCTGTAACTCTCAAGTTGAGCTGACTCACAGTATTTATGAGTATCATTGGCTTTCTCTTGGGAAATAGTGCAGGGTGAAACTGAGATAGCAGACCCCATGAGGAATGGAAAAGCAGGCAGGTCAGAAATAAGAAAGTAGTCTCAAGAACATGCTTTTCCTACTCGCGGAGCAAGGTAGTCTTCCAGAAACTTAATGGATGGGCTATGTTGTCTTATTTATGTGTAATACACTTTACATTTATGAAATGTCAATGGGTTTTGAGATTTATGACTAACAGAAACAATGTGAAAAGCACCATCACCACCAATGATAGCAATACTGTTATGGAAGACTTTGCTCCTTTGCTTTACTCAGAGTACTCTTGATAGGGTTCTATTTGAGAATATTATTTAAAGATTTAGTGCCCAGAAATACATTGTAACTTCAAAGAAAATTGATGTTTCCTCTATGAGATAATTAAAATGAAATGCCAGAATGAAATGAAAGTGAAATGACAGAAATGTTTCCTTTCTGTCCTGGTTCAGTGGATGCTGAGAGCCGAATTTGTTAATTATTTCTAGTAATGTTATCGTCTTCACAGTGAGCCTAACTTGTTGGCTACCTATAATTTTGAATTTCTATTTTCCATTTTATTAAGCTTGCCTAAATAGCCTTTCTTGTAAACCATCACAAATCCCACTTATTATAATAATTTACTACTTTGGGGATATAAATAGATTTGATAAATGAAATTACTAATAACTTAATTAATGATTTGTGGACTCATATCACATGTGCTCATCATAATAGCTTATTTTTTACCCACTTGATCTCAGAAGTAAGTTAATTATTTTGGTACCCAGTTTTGAACTCATGTGCTTCCTAATTTTGATTACAGAACTAAAGTCAATGATGTGAACAGAAAACATGGAAAACACTTCCATTGTTTGCCCATATGCATGATATATTAGATTCCTTATTTCCCACTTTTTTATTTTTTTCAGATGAATTCTGTGTAAACTGAGAAATTACATTTTTATTTATCCCTTTCCTCTTTATTTATTGTCCAGAATAGATGCATTTTGTCTGTTACACTTAGTTCAAGCATAATTATTTTTGAGTTCAAGGTGACAATGTAATCTATTTTATTATGAACGAATCAAATTTCCCAGGCAGTGTATTTATTTGGGGACTTAATATGCTCCATCGACTGCCAGTGTAAGATTCAATAGTTAATTTATTCCCTTTGAGGAATTGCATGTCCGCAGCCTCTGGGATTTGCACTGAAACACTCCTTTAGGAAGGTTTAACATGGGACGACGTTTAAAGAAAAGACAGATTTGCAGAGCTGGAGTTTCATTGTAACGTCAATTAGATTGAGTTGTATTATATAAGCAAAGGTTATTTGCAGAGTTTCCAGTGACAAGAATAGCATTATTCTGAAATTCTCTCTTGATTTGTGCAGCACACTTCCCATGGGAATTTGGGGCTCATGTTCCTATTCCCTTCAGGGAATGTGCAAGGGTATGAGACTGGATTTAGACTAGGAATCCCTGAATGAGACTTAGACATTTTCTTGAAAAGGATGGTAAAATTTGGAATACTTTCAAAAAATTGATGGAAAGCCAATTTGCCCTGTTAAAGACTCTCCTAAGCAGAAAAACAAATGAAGTTGCAAGAGCTTATGAGTTAACCATCCAAACAGAATTCTTCAATGCCTCCCCTAAAATGTATATACCTGCTTAGCCATGGAAAATCTTACTGCATAGGTTTTTCTCTCTGTATCTACCATTGGCAGAGTAAGGATGTATTGGATGGAACAAATGTAATTGATTGATTGTATTTCCATCAGACTTTCAAGCATGTATACCCTTTACTTAAATGCATTCTAATAATCTAAAAAGTGATAAAGGTCACAGACTCCACTTAGATGAATTAATATCACCATTTCTTTCATCCACATGGATCTGTGTCGCACTTTGCTGGCACAGGACTCATTCCGCTGAATGGCATAATTGTAGGTCCGGCATCTCCAGTATTTCTTGGGCACATAGAGAAAAGAAGTCATCAATTGTACTAACTAGCATATTAATTAGGGCTAATTACAGTGACCTTTTCCAAATTACCTACTATTGCAAATAAAAATTCAGTATGGGGACCTTAGATGTAAACTTAGGGACCAATGACCCTTAATTAAATACAAAGTCAAGTTAATTTAGCTGAATATAAGATATAAATTCACAGTATACCAAACTGTACCTTGTAATGAAAGGTTCACAAAGCAGAGAAAGGAGACAGTGGAAACTGCTTTGTTTCTCATTTGGCCCTTGCTGGGTTTACTTTTATTCTGCTGATCCTGTAGGCAGCTATGGGGGAAAGAAGGGCTTAGGACCTGGAGGAGGAGACCTGGGTTTGAGCCCAGCTCTGAAATTTATTATTCACGTGACTTTGAGAATAACTCTCTGAGTCTTAGTTTCTTGACCTGTAACCTGGAGACTTAAACTTTTTTTACCATTGGAAGGCTGGGAAGATTAGATGTTTATAAGTTTTTGTAAACTAAAATATGTACTAGCTGTATAAAGAATATTAATACTTATTACATAATGACATTAATTTATGTCTTACAAGATATTCTGATACAATTTGGGAGAGCAACGCACCAGATTTATTTCTTTCAAAGGTGTCCTGGATGTCTATGGTGGTAAATAAGTAATGATGATAATAAATAAATCCAGGAATTAAGTATTTATGTATAATACTTTACAACTTCATTTGGCGGAGCATCTTTCATGCCAACTATATCCCCAAACAGATTACATTCAATAAAGACTTACAGTGATAAGCAATAAATACTAGCAGTGAGAGACAGACATTGAGATAAACAGGCAGCAAAAAGTGCTTTTCAGCTAAATTCTGAAAAGAAATGAAGAATTTAGGGGTGAAGAGACCCAGCAGAGATGTCACAACAGGCGGATACTATTGGAGATAAAGTTCTCACACTCAATTTTCTTTGTGAAAGGCCTGAGGCATGAAGTCCAAGGTCTTGAACTTCTGCCTGGGTCATCTCGCAGGCAGCAGGTCTTTGCTGTGGGGAAAAGAAAAAAAAAATGATATTAATTCTGAGAGAGGTGAATTCCAACTTCATGGGGATTATGAAGCAGGAAAATCTTTCGTAAATGGCTTTGCTTTGATCTATATGGACCAGAAGGGAACTATGTATTGGTATTTTATTGTTCATAAGCTACCCAAAAAGTGCAGCTGCAGCGTTCATCACTAAAAATCAGCTGGAAATTTGATTTGCAGTCTAGAGAAAGGATTTTCAAGTTAGTTCAGGATAAACTGATTTCTGACTCTTCCATGAGTTTGCCTTTGGCTCAGCCAGTTTTGGACAATAGATGAGAGTGACTTCCTTGTATGCTAATTTGACTTTTTAGTAGGCATGTGGATAACAGACACACTCTGAGTAACACTATGTAATGTGTGTGTGTGTGTTTGTATCAGTTCTTACACTGCTAATAAAGACATATCCAAGACAAGGTAATTTATAAAGGAAAGAGATTTAATTAACTCACAGTTCCACATGGCTGGGGAGGCCTCACAATCATGGTGGAAGGCAAATGAGGAGCAGTGTTACGTCTTACATGGCGGCAGGCAATAGAGCTTATGCAGGGAAATTTTCCTCTAAAAAACCATCAGATCTTGTGAGACTTATTCATTGTCATGAGAACGGCATGATTCAGTTACCTCCCTCAGGTCCCTCCCATGACACAAGCGGATTATGGGAACTACAATTCAAGATGAGATTTGGGCAGGGACACAGCCAATCCATATCAGTGTTTGAAAGATGAAATAGTGGCATACAGAGCAGCCTCTTGAGGAGAGTACTAAAATGAGTATTTCTCTATCACACTGACTGAAATTGGGGAAGACAAGAGTGGGGTAAGGTGAGCAAGCTCAAAGACTAAGGAAAGGTTGCTTGGTATGATAAATTTTGCTCAGATAACCTCAGGAGTGTATAAAGAAGAGTTACTGTATTCTATTCACAAAGGGTTTTTGTTGATGATGGCCCGATTGAAAGATGAACTACCACCTGCCAATGAAAGGGAATCTTACAAAATCATTTGAAACCTGACTGTCTCATGTTATATTGAGTTGTGCATAGTATAGTTCAACTTCAACAGGGTACTTTGGCTATGTGGGTACTTATTGACAGCTTTAAGGAGGGCTACTAAAGTCTTCCATGGTGCTAAAAGCACCTCAAAATGAGTAATTTATTTTGGAAAAGCATATTAAGGTAGAAAAAAGAGTAGAAAAAGTACTTCATCTAGAAGCACTGATATGAAGAGGAGATGAAATACATGAATGAAGAGGTTAGTGCAGAGTAGCTACAAGCACAAATTGGTTTCATAGTTGCTTCTGATTTGGCCAATGAAAAAGATAAAGAATAAAAGAATCAAGCAGTCAGGGCAAGTCAGCTCCTTAAGGGCAGGTCTCCTGTCTAGCAGCACACGGTGTATCCCAGGTCCCTAGAATATGGTAGGCACATCGTAGGTTCTCACATTTTGCAGTAAAAATAAATAAATATATACAGGAACTAATGGTATATGTTTAGAGGGGAGTTGCTTGACATTAGTTAGACTCTTTATTATTTTAGCTCCGAAACAGGGGTTGTCTTTGACAAAATTTCTTCTTTTTTACAGTTGCCTTCTAGATAGCTATCTCTATTTGTGATGTTCTTTACAGGCTAAAAGGTGCAGGAGAGATGCCTCAAGGGACAGAGAGATCTGAAATTGTTACATTAAATAAGTTTCCTAGGCAGAGCAAGAAATGGCCTGGAGTCTGCTCCTGGTTACAACTTTAATCATTACATACAAGCTGACTGCGAAAATCTATCTGAATGATGAACAAAATACTTTAATCTGGACTTCATTACGTTACGTTTGCAACTTTGGAGTTCTGAATTTGTAATAAGGGCATGAAAGATTTACCTGCAATGCCATTCTCATTGAATTCCAGTAAATCCAAGAAAGAATGTGTGGCTTCATGGAATGGAGCAAAGAGGTGAAAGACCAGGTCAGGCAGGGAATCAGGCATGGGGGAGATTAGGGTGCGTGGGAGTGGGAGAGCAGTTCAGGTTCCAGGAAACAGAGCTATTGGAATTTGGATGAGGGTTTTAAATCATGGTAAGCCCTATCAGGAGTCATAGGTTGACAGCAATCAATGAGTAAAATCACCTCATGTGTTGGGAAAAGAAAATCAAGCAGACCTCTGGAAGTCTGTGGTCTTGGATGCAAAAGGAAGCTAAAACTACAATAGTCATGAAGGCAATGGAAGTGAGAAAGAACTTTCAGAAAATTTGATTTAAAACAGATAGGGGACTGGGTTCCGGGAATTAGGTTATGAGAATGACAGCACCTTTCAGAAAATAAGGTTTGTGTAATTATTCTGCTATAAGGATTATTACTTATAAAGACTATTCTCATCATGCAGGTGGAGGACCTGGTGCCCCGACACTGCAGGCACAACAGTGTGGACATGGATCCTCTCTGCAGAGCCCTGCATTCAGCCACATGCCTAGGACAGTGGGAAGTACAGGAATGTTCCTGTGCCTGTTTACTTGTGACAAGATCATCAAGTTTCCCAGCTCAGAGGGGATACTGAGAGTGGGGGAATAGGTAAGACTTTGCTGCTAAAAAGGAGAAAAAGCAAGAAATGAGGAAAATGACAGAACCATCTATTCTAGGGTCAACTCTAACATATATTACAGGAGAATTGTATTTCTTGCAAATAAAAGCAGAGACCTTCTGATGTTTGTTTTTTTACTTTAACATAAGAGAAACTTCATTGATTTTCCTAATCTAGATCTTAAATACACACAAGGAAGGTGTCCTGAGTGAGGCACTCATGAGAAGTTAACTAAAGTCATTTTCAGATTTAATGATTGCAAGTGTCAGAATGAGTGTGACTTCTCTTTACTTCTTGAAATAGCACTTGCAGGTGTTCTTCTGTGGTTAGACCGGCTGCCTCAAATTACCCAGAAGTGAAACTGCGTTTTTGGTGATGCTCATGCCTGATCCATGACCTCCATCTTTTCTGTTTTTTTTTTTTTTTCCCCTCTTAAGATAACACAGCACATCTGAGAATGCTTAACATATTCGAGTGGTGCTACTGGCTATAATGAAGTTCTTTCAGCCTTTCCATTACAAATTCTTCTTTCCGAGGTTTAATATCTCAGAGACTTTTAATCCCACTGGGCCAAACTTAGTATAGAGGCTGTCAGCAGAAATGCAAATGTTTTTGCTCAACCCTAAATATTTCCAATCAAACAAACCTGTTTTTTTCGCCACTCATTATAGCATAGGTATAAGAAAATAGGTTTCAGGCACTTTTGAAAAGCAAGAAAAAAAGGAATCTAAGCACAAAATCTGAGAGAAATGCATAAGAATGCAAAACCTGTCTAGTTTCAGGGTAGGTTGGCAAATATTGAAGAATTCCAGCATCGGAAAATTTTTACCTTGTGTTTTCTTAGCAAAATTCAAGATGTAGCCATGAAATAAACTGACAGCATATTGCCTATTGGTTTGAACTTTTGATTTTTTTTTTTTTAGGAGAAATCCTTGTTATTAGGAGAAATCCTTGTTACTTCTGTGAAAATTTAAGATGAACAAGTGATTCCAGTATACCCATATGACTTGGGCTATGATGGAAATATTTTTTCTTTTCCTTCAGGTCTTGAAGCTAATTGAATGAAAATCATTTGTAACATTGGTTTATTCAAAAAGGTTTAAAAATTAAAACTTTTTTATTTTTTGTTGTGGTAGACAATGTATAACATAAAATTTACCACCTTAGCCATTTCTAAGTGTAAAGTTTAGCACTGTTAATTATATTCATGTTGTTGTGTAACCAATCTCCAGAACGTTTCATCTTGCAAATCTGCCACTCTGTGCTTATTCTGTTTCAGTGAAATTTACTATACCAGCAAACCTCATATAAGTCAAGTCCAGCAGTATTTGTCTTTTTTGATGGGCTGATTTTAATTAGCAGAATGTCCTCAAGGTTCATGTGTTGTAGCATGTGTCAGAAATTCCTTACTTTTCAAGTCTGAATATTATTAACATTTGACTTTTTGGATGCTTATTTCATATTGTCTTTATATTTTTACTAAGACATAACAAGGTCTTCTACTTAAGAAATAGTAAAGATCCTTAAGAATAGGATCTTTCCTATTTCTTAAGTAGAAGACCTTGTTATGTCTTTAAATTATTTTGTAATTATTAAAATTCCTCTTTCAGAATTTTAACTCATGAGTTTAAGGCTACAGGTCTTTGAACTTGGCTTTACTGCTTAAGAGAATGAGCATCTTTTTTGAAGCCGGTTTTCTAGTGAAAGGCGGACCTTCTAAGGTCCCTGGCAGTGGTTGTTTGCCCTCAGGTCAGAGCATTCCTAATCTTGTCTTATCCTTGTCCCTGTTAGCATTGTATTGCACAGCCAGTCCCCACGCTGTCTCTTTGGGGAATTTGGTCTCTGATATCACATTTCTGAGTATTCCAATCTCTTCGACACTTCTAAATGTGGCTCTCATGTTCTCATCTACCCCTAAAGCCATTTTTATTGTGTTCTGTAGCCTTTCTTCTCAGTTTGTCTTCTACTTTCTTTTGCCTCCTAGAGCCTCCCTGATACTTCTTGTTTTTTTCCAGAAAAGATTAATGTCTTCAGAATACACGAGCCTTCTATATTCCCTTTCTCATTGAGCTCTGACCATTTGGTACAATTCTGTCCAACTTCACCCCTCCACTTTATGGAATACTTCTGGCTGTCAGACTGATATGTTAAGACAATGGAACACTCCTTGCATTCTTGAGGAGATCAGAGGCTAGTGGGCAGATGAATATGCAGACAATCGCAAGGAGGCACTGTAATAGAAAAAGGGGAGAGAAGAGCCCTGTGGTTTCTGTGAGGGGCACAGGTGAGGAAGAACTGCCCTATGTGGGAAAATGGGATCAGATCTTATCAATAAGGTGGCATTTAAAATCAGTATTAAAGAATGACTAGAAGTTGGCTGGAAAAAAAATATTATGGTTTTGACTTAGTCTCTCTCTAATTATTTGCTTATTTGGTAAAAATATTCTTTGAAATACCCAGATCCCAAGTTCCTTCTCACCACAAAGACGCACTGGATACAATCAGTAACTTCTCTTGAGGGCATCTGTTATTTGCCGTCACCTTGATGCTGCTATATTTTCTACAAGGACATTGTGTTTTGAGGCCTCTGAGACTGAAATGTTAAAGAATCCTGAGGGATCTGAAAGGCTGAATTCTGATGAGCAATCATGTTATAAATTGTTCAGTCATTTACATTTAGATACGAACAAACCAAATGAAAGCAAGATTTGGTAGGGGCAGGGGAGATGACAAGAGGGTATGAGGAGCTTGGGAAAGGGATGGCTAGAGATTCACTGGTGGAAAAGTAGTGGTAAAGTTGAAGAACAGGGAGCTTGAACAAGTGACCTGATTCTCTCTAGAAAAAAGAATACACTTTGAGTATTTTATTTCAACAGTGAAACTTTAAGAGCTTTTCATAGTGGTCTCTAATCAGTTGCTACTCTCTTCCCCATGTGGATTCCAAGCAAGTTGAGAAATAAAGCAGAGTAAATATGGAATTTAAAAAAGGTCCTATTGCCACTAATAGAATTCAGATTGGATGACAGAGCTTAGTTGATTTTGAACCTAGAACTGGACAGCCTTGCTCCCCACTCCCACATTTTGGTGTCACTTGACTGGGATAGGTCAGATAAGTTCCCAAATTCTTCTCCAAATTTAGCAAGCACACATGCCATTCCTCTTCCCCTAGACTGCAGTGAGAAGGAGGGCAGGGAGAGACTGGAGTGACACCAACATGTTTGTTTTATAGAAGGACACATAAGAAATAAAGAAAAGCAGAGCATTCCCCTCCAACAAGTTACTCCACTTAATTGCTTTCTTCTTTTTCTACAATTGAATTCAATATTAGTGTAGATGGCATTGCCTTTCAGTTCTTTTATCTTTAACTTTTGTTTTACTCTGTGTTTTGGCACTGAACTGCCTCATAAGTGTGACTAGCCTAACTCTATCCCTAATTTGATTGCAGAAATCTCGTTTTCAGTTTTTTTTTTTTTTTTTTTTTATGGAGGGACCTATTTCTTGAAGCACTATACAGAAGAGGACAGGAACAAGAAGTGCTGGAGTTGTTGGTGCTGCTGCCAACTTCTGCGTTGGCATCATTGAACTCTCCGTGGTTCAGAGGAGGTTGATTCTGTCAGGTGCAGTGCTGATATGCTTACATCTTAGCTCAGTGAATGAGAAACGATGGCTTGTTTACTTGGTTTCTGCACTGCAGTGTGGCGGCCGTGTGTTGAATTATTATTGCATTTGTTTTAGGAAGACACCTCCCTTGCTGTTCACTTCCCTCTATGTAACATCACCTCTGCGAGGTTTACTGGCACTACAGGAACTGAAAAAATGGAGTAAATGGCTCTCTAGAGAAATCTTCCTGGGAGTGTGAGCCACCTGGAGTCTGTAAATGCTTGAAATTTTGTTCTCAACAACAAAAAATCAATGTAACTTAGAAATATAATGAAAACAACACTTTCTTCTGGTGGGTAAAGTTGAATTGGTGACAGTTAGGTGTTCTGATCATCAGGTTTCATAACCTGGATTGATTTGTAGAGAAATTAAAAAACCATCAATTGTTACAATGCTATGAATATGTAAGAATACCAGGAGAGGGTCTTCTAATCTACATGAAAGCCAATGCCATCAATGCTAATTTGTTTTCTGTTTTGCTCATGACGCAACAAAGCGGCTGAATATATAGTTTTTACTGTTGTTGTCACTCATCTTTCAAATGATAGAATATTGGTAGTTTCAACATCATACTTTTAAAAAGTAACTTCTGCATAGAAGGTACATATTGGAAAAGCACACAGAGCAGTGCCTGGCAGACAGTGAGCACTGCATGAGGACTTTGTTAAATAAATAAAGTGTAAATTAAACCACCTTCACCAAAATTCACAAATGACTTAGCATCGATCATTTACAATCCAGGTAATCTTCCCTGTAAGCTGCAGAGCCTCTTCTGGTACTCTTCTTAGTATCAATTAAATATCATTTTCAAATAGCCTTCTAAAGTTATCCAAACTTAGAAACTAATGTAAATGTAAGAAAATTATAGAGAAGACTAATAAGAATTTATGTGTTGATTAACAAAGGATTATGGTAAGTTAACTGAAAGCAAAGTGATTTAATTAATTTGTTTTTATTTATTATTGTTATTTTTTTGAGACAGGGTCTGTCTCTGCTGCCAAGGCTGGAGTGCAGTAGCATGATCTCAGCTCACTGAAACCTCCACCTCCTGGGCTTAAGCCATCCTCCCACCTCAGCCTCTAAAGTAGGTGGGACTACATGTGTGCACCATCATATCTGGCTATTTTTAAAAAAGCTTTTGTAGAGATGGGTTTCCCCATGTTGCTCAGGAGTGTCTCCAACTTCCGAGCTCAAGAGATCTGCCCACCTCAGCCTCTTAAACTGCTAAGACTACAGGCATGAGTCACTGCGCCTGGCTATGCTTTAATTTATAAATGAAAGATGATACCGTTAATTCTAGAAAGGGTCACTTAAAGCATTTGTCAAATCTAGAAATGTAAGAGAACAATGTGTGTTGTTGTCCTATAATAGATTTTTCTGTGAAAATTGGTCCCACCACTTTGGGTCCATGCATATATGAAACAAATGAGCCAAAGGCCTTAGAACCCTGAGGTTTGGCTAATTTGCCCATATTTATACAATGTATAGAGGTTGTTTCTACTCTGTGTGAGGTTCTATACTAGTAATGTTGTAAACACAGACCAATATGAGGAGAGAGGAGATGGTTTGTAGTCTACTGTGTTTTGTGAAAGTTTTGATGTAGTTGATTTGGACAATATTTAGATTCATTTAGAAACATTTTCAGTTATATCATGTCTAATTGGTTCTTTAAAATCTCTTCTTAAAGGATCCTGAAACTTAAAGAAGGGGAATGCTTATATTTTCCATAGACAAAAGTGGTGCTTCTATGATAACAGGAATCATTCGAAGACGTGTTGTTTAGAAGGTGATAAAAAAATTCTGATGAGAGAAAACATGGAAGAAGGAAAAGGCATAAAAGGTAAGTTTGAGTGTCCTGCCTACCAAGGAGAAATTAGATTTGCTAAGAGCGTATTTCGACTTTGGGAGGCCAAGGTGGATCGGTTGCTTGAGCCTAGAGGTAGAGACCAGCCTGGGCAACTTGGCTGTCTCTTAAAGCAAAGAAACAAACAAAAAACCCCCAAAACAAAAAACAATTTAAACCCCAACATTAGCCAGCTATGGTGGCATGTGCTTGTATTCCCAGTTACTTGGCATGCTGAAGTTGTAGGATTGCCTGAGCCCAGGAGGTACAGGTTGCCATGAGTCAAGATTGTAACCAGCCTGGGCAACAGAGGAAGACATTGTCTCACCCTCCTTTTGAGGCTCAAGTGGATTTTGGGAATACCCGGGAATTTACAGATTGTAAATATTTAGAGCTCTTAATCAAAATCATCTATGAAGTCCTTTTGCGTGTGTGCCTGACCAAAACAATTTTTGACTATTAGGGGATGTCCTAGTTCTAGGAAAATTTGAAGTTGGTTTTTAGACCCTTAAGCGTATAGAGTTTAGATTACCCAAATTTATCCCTGCCCCCTCCATAACACGTAGAGTTTCTGGTAGCCCTCTGCTTCACACTCATGTTCATCCCAAAGAAAGGACGGAAAAGTGGCTCTAATGTTTTGAGATTTTCTCTGTGCCTTGCACTTCCACATACTAATTTTTGCATCAGCCCTTTCAGGAATATTTTATTATTTCCAGTTTGCCTGGGAAGAAACAGAAAGTCAGTGAAATTAAATGTATTACTCATCATGATACAGCCAGTGACAGTGATGCCAGCAGTCAACACATGTCCTTGAGGCCAGATACCTGCTCTTTCTGCTGTTTGATAGCACTCCCTATGAAATTCACCATTACTCTACATTTTGCCTGGTGCTCTGTCATGCTGCTGAGATTATGAGTTGTGACTTCTGTTCTGTGGTGCATTTCTTTCTGCTGTTTTTTCTGATAATCAAAATCATGCTATGGTATTAGTGGCTACCAATGTCTTTTAGCAAAGGTAGGTCTTAACCCTGAAGAGAACTACTGGCAGAAATGTAAGTCTTGTCATCACTCTTTAACATTGCCTGTACAATGTCTGTGGGTGGGAGAACTTGGGATGTATTTTCTTTTAAGACTCCGAGGATAGGGCACTACAGAACACTGTGTATATAGCACACTTGAAAATTGTATTGTGTGGATGAATGAATAAGTTGATGGGCAGCATTCAACCTCAACAGAAAGGCAGTTTAAGTGGATTTCCACTTGTGAGAGCCTTCTTTTTACTTTTCATGAATAGCAATGTTATCTGTACAAATATAGGTTTTGAGCCAAATGGAACATGGAATCTAAGAAATCATATACAATGAATGTGTTTGAAGCTTTTATAAACTCTGAGTGATTTATAAAGTGATGTTATCTGATTGCAGATAACTTCTTTTGTCCCTTAGAGTGCATTCTGGTATTTGAATGAAGAGTGTGGTGGAAGGCCGTTGCTGAACTCAAGCTGTGTCAAACTGCCTAACTACCCTGCTTTATTATTTGTGACGAGGGGTAAGGCTGGGTGATAGCAAAATAAAATATTGATGGAAATGCACTGAAAATGTGTTAAAGCAACGTATTTTGAAATGTTTATAGAGCTCTTTGAAGTGAAATGATGGTTTTAAGTGAATTAATAAGATGTTAGCTCACCTCTTCAGTGATAAAATCGTGGTGACAATGTAAATTCTTAACCTCACACAAGAGTATAGATTCACTACAGGGTTTATTAATTTTCCAAATTTCAGATTAATTTAATAATAACAATATGGGAAATATATGCTACAAGGACTGATTTTTTTCTTGTTAATCTCTTTAATATTGACATGACCTAATAAAGATGCATGTGGCTGTTACAAGATTTACACATTGCTAAATATTTTTAGATTGATTTCAACAAGAGAGATTGAAGACTGCTTCTTCAGAAGTCTCAGGAGAACTGTTTTAGCATTTTTTGATAAAAAGCTATATGCACATAATAAACAACCTCAAATGTAATATTATTTGAACACTTAATCTAGTTGCCTTTTAACCTTCATAAAATGTTAGACCTAGATTTCAAACTTAATAACGGAGGTGAAGTGTGTGTTTGTGTGTTGTAGTTTTAATATAATGAAGATCTTAGATTTTTCTCAGAATAACCGACTCCACTTATTTTCTTGGAAGACAAAATGGAGAAAAATATGATAGAAACAAATGGATATGTATGAATATCTTTACAAGTATATTTATACATGAGGCCACCAATCTGTCCATTTGGCATCTTCTTATTTTAGAAGAAACTATACTTTGATGATAGCTTGTACCCATTATTTTATGTTGCTGGATCATGGACAGAGACATGGAACAAGAAGGAAAGCTAGGTGGAGCCGGCTTTCTGTAAGCCACAAGCTTTATCTTTAACAGAAAAGCAAACTCTGATGTTTTAGATTCCATTCTAAAGAGAAAAAATAGAACACTCAACTGTTCTTGCTGGTGGACTACTAATGACAGTAAAAGATGAATCCCATTAAAAACAAACCAGAATAAATTGTCACTTAATTGAACACAACAATGCAAAGATTGCCAAGGGGCTTGCTTTCCCACCACAAGTATTTTGTTAGAAGTATTCAAGATCACAATTGAACCCTAAATTTACATCAACTCTAAATCTTTACCATGTAATTGCCTTACTAATAGGTAACTAGATTAAGATGGTGACATATTTTAAATGGAATATCCAGAGCTATATACAGCATACTCAGTTTCCTTCATTAAAGGAATTTATTTCTGGTTGCTTTCTATTTCATTATAGCAGCTATAAATTCCTTGTTACAACACATTAATAAAAATATTTTTTTTTCTGAAGTTGTTAGACCCCAGACTAACATATTTAGATTTAGAGAGCAAAGGCCTAAATTGTTTTGCTAAAGACCAAAATAGCTGGTAAAACTCTGCCTCTCCTCTTTTTCCCTCAGATTTCAATTGCGTTGAGTCTCAGGTTCTAAGGATTTCTGTAGCACAAATGGCAGCATTTTCATTATTTTCTGCTGAGACCACACTGTACCGGACGTCATCCTGTGCTTTCTAGAAGAGGGTCTCAAGCACTCTAGAACTTTCTAGGGAAAAACCTCCTCTTTTTGAGAGAAGAAAAACAATATATTACCCTGGATGCTTATTCACATAATTTTAACCCATTTTTCAGGAGAGCAGGAAAGAAATACAGAATCACTGGACTCTTAATCTAGATGCCCAGTTTATTACAGTGATTTTCACCAGCCTTCTTGTATTGTGTTTTAGATACTCTCTCTCAGCTGATGTCAAAGCATGATCTGAACTGCTGGGGGTTCACTGAGATCTTCTCTGAAGTCCACATAGTCAAAATTATTGACATAACCACAGTTAGACCTTATTTGTCTTTTGCACTGTGTTGACGTTTGCACTGATTGTGCAAAAGCCATACTGGGTCAAACTACTGGTGTCTCAACACCAAGAAAGGCAGTGGTGCCTGCTGTGGTGGTGGTCATTGTGTTCTTCACTGTCACTCACTCACAGGATATCTTTGATGAATCAGTAGAAATTACAAATGTTGCTAAGTATCCAATCTAAGTATACCTCTTTAATAGTCTACTATCGAAGTAGGACGTATTAAAAAAACATTGCTGGCTTAGCAACGTACAATGAACATTTCAGGAAAAGAACTGGTGGGATGGTTTGCCTTGGGAGCTGAACTCCCTTCCCATGAATTTCCATTTGTACTTGAAAGGATAACTAACAGGTACACACCGAAGTTACTCAGAGTTGGCTATTTAGCCGACATTTCTTAAAAATAAACAAAATGAACATGTCCCTTTAGGGAAAACAACTGACAATTTTTGTTTGCAATGGTAAAATTCAGGCTTTCAGGCAAAACTTAGAATTTTGGAAAACTTGTATATGCCACCGTAAATTAGACAGCTCCTTAATACTTAAAGACTTTTTAGATAAAATTGGTAGTGATATTAACAAATGTAGTTTTTTGATACATTACATATATGTGTAATGGAACACATGAGTTGTAATGCATTCGTTACATGAACATGCAGGAGTGAAAGATTCCTTTGAAATTAAGACCGATCAATATATTTCAGTGTAGCAAAGTAGTGATCCAAGTTGTAAAGTTCACTGATATAATTTCAGTTTCCATGTTATGACTAGCTTTTAAGAAACTACCTCTTGTTGAGTTTTGGGGCATATTAAAGAAGAGTATTCTTAATTAACTGAAAGGCTTTTATTTTATTTTTTGAGACAAGGTCTCATTCTGTTGCCCAGGCTGGAGTGCAGTGACACAATATCTGTTCACTGCAGCCTTGACCTCCCGGGCTCAGGTGACCCTCCTACCTCAGGCTCCTAAGTAGCTGTGGCTACAGGAGCACACCACCATGCAAGGGCTAGTTTTTCAATTATTTGTAGAGACGGGGTCTCCCTACGTTGCCTAGGCTGATCTAGAATTCCTAGGCTTAAGTGATCCTCCCACCTTGGCCTCCCAAAGTGGTGGGATTACAGGTATGAGCCACTGTGCCCTGCCTGAAAGTCTATGAAAACTCATTTTCCTTTTTCAGCTATTCATCTGTGTGAGAACATATTTCCTTCACATACTTCAACTAAAAATAACTATTGAAATAGATTAAATGCAGAAGCAAAATATCCAGCAGTCTTCCATTAAATCAGACAAAAAGACATAGACAAAAAAAAAATTCAATATTATCACTAATTTTCTTATTTTTGAAAATATATTTTTTTCCAGTAGATAAGATTTTTATTATTTAAAATAAGTTAATAAATAAATATTGAAATGTTTTCTTAATTTCTTTTTTCTTTATTAGGCAGAGTCTCACTCTATCACTCAGGTTGGAGTGCAGTGGTGCGATCTTGGCTCTCTGCAACCTCTGCCTTCTGAGTTCAAGCAATTCACCTGCCTCAGCTTCCCAAGTAGCTGGGACTACAGGTGCCCACCATTATGCTTGGTTAATTTTTGCATTGTTAGTAGAGACGAGGTTTTACCATGTTGGCCAGGCTGGTCTCAAACTCCTGACCTCAAGTGATCGACCTTCCTTGGCCTCTCAAAGTGCTGGGATTACAGGCATGAGTTACCACATGCGGCCTTAAATTTTTTAAAGGTAAATATAATCTACATAAATATTGCTTGTAGTCTTCAATAGTTTCTAAGAGTGGAGCGGGATCTTGAGACTGAAAAGTTGGATTGCTGCTGTTCTATCTTCTAAATAGAGAGATATGAGTCTCAAGGCTAGATCACTCATGTGTGAGAACACTGAGGTTTGCTGCCCAGATCTCCCCTTTGAGGAAGAGTGTATTGCCTCAGTTGCTGGGAGTGTTGCCCACTGACAGCTTTCAGTTGTCAGTCCCTTCAAGGATTGTTTCAGCTGCAGAGAGCCACCTCACAGAAGGCCGCATCCTTTCCCAGAGTACCCCCATCTAGTGGTTGATGGATGCAGGAGTATAAAGACATGGCCATCTTTTTTTTTTGTTTTGAGAGGAAGTCTTGCTCTTTTGCCCAGGCTGGAGTGCAGTGGCACGATCTCGGCTCACTGCAACCTCTGCCTTCCAGGTTCAAGCGATTCTCCTGCCTCAGCCTCCTGAGTAGCTGGGACTACAGGTGTCTGCCACCATGCCCAGCTAATTTTTGAATTTTTTAGTAGAGACAGAGTTTCACCATCTTGGGCAGGCTTGTCTGGATCTCCTGAGCTTGTGATCCACCTGTCTCGGCCTCCCAAAGTGCTGGGATTACAGGTGTGAGACACTGCTCCTGGCCTAGACATGGCCATCTTTGTTTAACTCAAGACAACTCCTAGAGTCCATTCCAACTCCAGAGCTCCTGGTGGGGTCAGCTGAGGTGTCAACTGGCCTGCGTCAGTGCTCGACTTCTGCCTTTCTTCCTCTCTTATCTCCTTCCCCTTTCTCCTCATGTGTTAATCCCAAGGGCTCTCCTTGGTAAAATGTCTGCTTCTCAGGGAAGTCAATCTGCAACAACATGAGGGCACAATAATAGGTTAAAAGTCAATTCTCTTTACAGTTTTGAGTAAGGTGCTACACTTTTGTCTGTATCCTCATGCGGGTCCTAAATTCCTTCTTGACAAGTCACGCAAATCCATTGGCCCGTAGAAAAGCTTTATATAGCCTGGAACACTGTAAGAGTTTGGACTGCTCTCTTAATGTAGTTCTGGACAAGCTAGTTCTGGATCCAGCAGGGTTAGTTCGGAAAAGTGCACAAAAAACACAGGCTTCAGCTTCTGAAGAACATAGGTGGACAAAAAAATGGATGCTCCTTTTTGTATGCTCTTGGATTAAAGCATCTTCCAAATTTTAGGTGTTGATGAGAAGACAAGAATTGAATAGAGAAGGGGGTCAAGAGGACAGACAAATCTCTTCATTTAACTCATCTTCACATTAAATATGCACCAACAGCCAAAGCCAAGTCAGTTTAGCTGTGACCCGGACCAACTGTTAATATCATCTAAACTGAATGGCTGTTCCCTAATCTGTCTATCTCTCAGGCATTCCTACCTGACCTAGAAAACAGAACTTGGGAGTCAGCCTCCGTTGGATTGGAGAGCATTGCATACTTTAACATTTTAAAGAATGAGGAAGCTTAGGTGAACTGTCTATAGCTCCGTTGACATGGCAGTCACAAGAGAACATTTGTTCCCACTTTGATAAAGTTAGCTTTCTTGCTCTGGGTATTGAATACTCTTTAATAGATCGTAGATATGCAGAATACGTGTGATTTGAAAATGAAGCCAAGTTTTAAACACTCTGCCATTTGAAAATGACCCATCTGCATGCTGGTGAGCTAAATATTTATTAATTCATTCCACAGATACTCACTATGTTCCAGTAAATATTCTAGGTTCAGGGGCATATATTGGTGAATAAGACAAAGTCGCTAAACTTAAAGAGCCTCTTATGACAGAATAACATTATCTGGGTCTCAGTTCATTTGCCTGTGTAGCTGAACTGATCCATGGTGAAACAGCAAAGAGTTAAAGAACTTGAAAGTGTTGAAAAGAGCTTTTCTATTGAGATGGCAAAGCACTGGAATGTCAGTTGCATAGTTTGCATACTGGAGGCAATGTTCCAGGTGCTGGAGACTCAATAGTAGAAGCTATTTTGTCCCTGCCCTGTATTTTATGACAGAAAGTAAAAAAATAAGACAGGAAAAAAAATAGAGATTTCTCTAAAAATTAACAGGTCAAGAAAACAAAGAATAAATAAAAACCTAGAATATTTGAATAACAATCAACATGATTGCTCTATTACATATGCAGATCTTGAAGGCATATATGCTTTCAAAATACAGAGAACTTTCCAAAACGTAACCATATAGTTGATTTAAAAATTGCACAAAATAATTATCCAAAGCTGAAATGATACTGGTCAAAATATTTGCCCATAATGCAAATCAGATTAGAAATAAACAACAAAAGGATTTTTTTTTGAAAATCCCAAAAATTTTAAAAGAGGGAATCAAAGCTATAATTATAGGCCATTTAGAAACAAAAACAGCAAATGGATTTGCATTTATTTGAAACCCATGGGATACAGCCAAAAGTGTACTTAGGAAATATTATAGACATAAATGCATTGATTAGGTGATGAAAGTTTGAAAATGAAAAAGCAAAGTATTCAACTCAAGAAGTTGAAAAAAGGCAAACAAAATAAAGACAGTAGAAAAAAAGAAAAAACATATATTTGCCATATAAAATGAAGCCAAACACAATAGAAACGGTAGTAATACTAGTCTAAAATTTGTTCTTTGAAATAAACCGTAAAGTATTTAAAAACAGTTGGCAAGTTATATCAAGAAATAAAAGGTGCCAAGTATGGGGACTTTGTACCTGTAATCCCAGCTACTCTGGAGACTGGGGTAGGAGGATGGCTTGAGACCATGAGTTTGAGGCCAGCTTGGGTGACATAGTGAGACCCTGTCTCTAGAAAAGTTTAAGAAACAAAAGGAGAGAGAAGACACAAATAATATCAAATATGAGAAAATATGACATAAAATCAGATATAAAAGTTATTTTAAAAATTGAGATATTTAATAATATACCAATAAATATTAAAATATTATAAAATGGATGATTTCATGGACTACTGTATATAGTAAGAATGACTTGAAAGGGAATAATAAAGGTAAATCAGCTAATAAAAATGGAAGAAAATGAAATCGTAAGGAAAAACAAATACTCATTACAAAAGCACCAGAAAAGGAAAGTTTAGTGTATGACTTCTATCAGTTCTTCAGGAAAAAAGTAATTCCTTTTCAGAGAATGTTAAAGATAGAGTGCTTTTTACCTTATTTGATAGTGATAGAACGATCTTAGTGCCTAAATTAGAGAAGCATTGCTTCTGAAAGAAAACTACACAGCAGTTTAACTTCCGAACACAGAAATAAAAATCTTAAATTGAAAAGAGTGCCAAGATTGTTGGTGAGAATGTAAATTAGTTTAAGCCATTATGGAAAACAGCATGGAGATTCCCCCCAAAATTAAAACTAGAACTCCCATATGATCCAGCTACCCCAGTATATGGTGTATCTCCAAAGGAAGTAAAATCATTATGTCCAAAAGCTATCTGTAATTCCATGTTTATTGCTGCATTATTCACAATAGCCAAGATAGGAAATCAATTTAACTGTCTGTCAATAGATGAATGAATAAAGAAAATATGACACACACACACACACACACACACACACACAATGGAATATATATATATATATATATATATATATATATATATATACACACAATGGAATACTATTCAGTCATTAAAAGGAAAGAAATCCTGTCATTTGCAACAACATAGATAAACTTGGAAGACATTATGTTAAGTAAATAAGCTAGGCACAGAAAGACACATACTGTATGATATCACTCATATTTGGAACCTAAAAAAGTTTATTGTGTGGAAGTGGAGAGTAGAATGGTGGTTACCAGGAGCTGGGATGATTGGAGGGTGTGGGTGGGTTGGGGAGATTTTGGTCTTAAAATTTTAGTTAAACAGGAGCAGTAAGCTAAGAGGTCTATTGTACAACACGACTATAGCTAATAGTGCACTGTAATGAATTATTATTTTTTTTTGAGACAGAGTCTTGCTCTATTAACCAGGCTGGAGTACAGTGTGCAATGATGACTCACTGGAGTCTTGACTTCCTGGTTTCAAGAAATCCTTTTACCTCAGCCACTTGAGTAGCTGGACCATAGACATGTGCTACCACACCTGGCTGATTTTTTAATCTTTTTGTAGAGATGGGGTCTCCTTATGTTTCCCAGGCTGGTTTCCAATTCCTGGGCTTAAGCAATCCTCTTACCTCAGCTTTCCAAAGTGCTGGGATTACAGGGCTGAGTCCCCACACCCAGCCTTGTATTATTTTTGAAAAATGCTCGGAGAGTGTATATAGTGTTCCCACTACAAAAATGATAACTGTATGAGGTATTACATATATATTAGTTAGCTAGATTTAGTCATTCCACAGTGTACATATACTTTAAAACATTATGTTTACCTGGTAAATACATACAATTAATCCACCAGTGTGAAAAAATATATTAACACCGTGCTAAATTAAATCCAGCAATATATTAGAAGAATAATTCATCATAACCAATTAGGATTTATCCTAGGAATGCAAATGTAAATCACCACTACAGCT